TTTGTTATATTATAAGAATTTTTTGTTGAAACGAAATTGACAAGCATAAACTGATTTTTTTTCTTTTCTTTTCTTTTTTTATTATTTCTATGTATGTATGGTTTATATTAAATATATTTCGTTATATGATAAAAAAAATTATCGTGAGACATAATTTTGATATACAATCAATTTATACTCGGCATAAACTGATTTTTTTAATTCATATTTGAAATGTTGTTTGTTAGGATTCTATATTCAACTTAATTTTTCATTTAGTTTACCATATATAATTTTTTTTATTTATTTATGGAAGAATTCCGTAAGTCAAGAGATTATCAAAGGGTTGTGGAAAATCTTTTCTATCTCCTCTATTGCACAGTCAAGCATTAATATAATTTTTTTAGGGTCAAGTGGTATGCTTGCAAATAAATTTTGTACTCGGTATTTTTACAAATATTTATCAATCATCATTAAGGTAAGGAGTGAGATAGATTCCATCACCACCACTTACCACTATACGGAGGGTATGGGGAAAAAAATAGCCTTTTCGAACTAGGGGTTGGGGGTTTTACTGGAACTGAAAAGGCGCCCTTTGAACGATTTTCCGATACCAGAGTAAGGGTAGTGCGCCGCGGAATGGCAGAGGGGCTAGATTGTATTTTTATTTTGTATAATGTTATTTGAACAATAATTTAAATAGTTTGCATTTATTTTTGTGTTTGTGTTTGGTTTTGTCGTGAATTTTTTTTTAAAGACAAATTAGGCCCTCCCCGAAACGGGATCCTGGTTTCGCCACTGCATATTGCCATCCTCAACGTCAACGAACACTTGATCCGACGTATCCAAGGACTCAAATATATGCAGAAACATTATTTTCAGTTGCACCATCATATGAAGTGATTCGATGCATGGAAAGATAGGAAATCATATTAAAAAAGTAAAAAATAAATAAAAAAAGGCACAAACGACCATTCTTTCAACTTTCTTTGGGCAGAACAAGGCGGTCTTGGCCTTCTATCAGCTTTGCGGACCGGATCACATCACCAGATTTGATCTCAGATAAAATTTCACGTCCAGCGGTCGTGTAACTGCACATAAGGTTAACTCTATCTCTTAAGTAATAAAATATTAAACCTAGTAATTTCCTTATCTTATTGTCACCATAAAATCATCTTTCAACTAAAGTATGTATACATTAAAAGAAAACATACCCGAAGACAGAAAATTGGCCTTCGTCAAACGATAACCCTCCTAGGCCAGCCTGTCCAAAAACGAGCACATTTACTCGATTCGATCAAATTTATGTACATATATTAATGTGCGGGAGAATAAAATGCGACTAAAAGTCTGAAACTGCTCACATTTCTCTTGTCATACAAATAGAAGAAAAACTGATTTGGGGAAGAATACTCTTCAGAGACCTCACTATGAGCCATGACCACTGCACCATAAACTGATAGTGGAAGCACAGGCAGCTCACCATCCTTTAACTCATAAAACGCAAATGTCTTTCATCCATGGAAAACAAAAATAAACGGAGTTTGATGTTTAAGTAGTGTGAATGAAAA